AGGTTTTTTATGGATGTTATATTAATTTCAATGGTTAAGATCAGCAATGTGCATCCAATATAATAACAACCAGTATAACATTTCTATAATGACTAGTCATTTATAGTTCTTAATATCAACAACAGAGTAATACAAACCAGTAAAATTAAAATATATGCTCATTGTAAAAGCTATTGGTTATTTGAGCTCAATCAATCATTGATGAACGCGTTTTTTTTCTTTGTTCGATGTCAATCGTACTGGTGTGGTATGTACTACATATATCGACATAAGTAGTATATAACGATATTGAGGATTAGAATGTCTGACAGCATAAGGTGAAGAAGGAAAGAACGAGAACAGAAAGCAATTGGTATGAAAATGTGCAAGAACAGTGAAATCTAAGAAAGTTGATTGATATTTTACAAATGAAGTATTTATTGTATAATTCTTAGATATGCTGTAATTTTGTGTGTTCAATTACATTCAATTGTTTCCACTTATGTTCTCGTTCACTACACTGGATTCAGTGAAAAAATTGACAACTGATAAGTTCCAGGTAGAATGAAAAATATTTTCTGAATTTCATTGTTATTCAATATCTGTGTTATAACTGTGACTGCAGATTAGACGGCAGCGTATTATCGATCGGAGCAAAAACGCGTAAACACGTAAGAACAACCTAGAGTCCTGATTGGTCCTGCTTTCCGCCTAGTCCAGCCAGTTGAATCCAGAACGCAAGTCTCAGCCTCTGAGATGTGAATCATTTTATTTCAAGCATACTGAGTTTATATACCAATCAAACCGACCACAACGTACCAATAAAGTATGAAACAAGATTTGGCCAAATGTGGCTGTGAATGAGGGAGGTAGTGATTAACAGACGGAATAATTCATGAATGATCAATCGTATAATAATAGTTCATAGATCAAAATAAAGCTCATAATAAAAAAGGCATGAATATGAACAGCTTGGTTACATAACAATTATACGATAAAAATATATTCATAGTATTGATCCATAAATGGATCCCAAAGTTACCATTCATTTATTCCTATCAGGATACAACAATCTGATACATGGGATCAATTAGATATGTGTTCAAAGATAAATTCACATCAATGGTTCAAGATTTGGCATCATTTCCTAAGGAAGAAGATACATGTCACTGGTTGAAATAGTGACTTTGTTTCTAGGGTAGAAGCGCATATATGTATATTTGAAAATAAATGTACATATGTGTTCTTTATTGATTTTTATTCAATAAAACTCTTTCTACTTATTCAAGTCACTAGTTTTTGGCTTATGTATAGAAGGTTTACATATTACTGTCGTGAACGAGAACACAAATGGGCATAATCGAATGTATTTGAATACAACAGTACAGAACATCTTAGTCAAATCTCAGAATTATACAGTTGATAATTCGTTTTCAAAATGTCAATCAATCGTTTCAAACTTTGTTGTTCCTTCTTTTCCACAGCAACTATTCTCTGTTCTCGTTGTCTTAACCGTCTACCGCCAAATATTTCACTTTCGATTAATGATACATACTACTTATATCTATCGATATCAGTAGCACGTACCACATTATACTTAGACGATCGCATAATATAACCCTGTTGAAATGTAGCTAAAGTGTTCCATTTTATTGGTACTAAAATACCTAATCCTCATTTATTCAAATTATATATTTCTGTCAAGTAAATCTTCGTCGACTGAGCTAGTTGAACCACTTGCTACTCTATTCCTAAACACCGATTACCACGACGCGCAATGCTGACTAGTATAGGGGATGGTCGGATGAAAGTTAGGGGCGGCCAAACCAAAACGTGGCATCAGTCCTTGAAGTCACTAACTTCTACTCTGAGCCATGTCGATAGATGCAGATTACTTGTTTGGGATCAGCGTGACTATCGTAACCAATGGTTGATGACTCTATGTGACATGGCTCAGAATCAATCACAATGTCGTACGTGTATATAATTTCTATCTTCCCTTAAACTTTGATATTAAACTTATTTTATTACCTTTCTTTCTACGAACTAATCCTTATACAAAATCTTTGTTTTATATATTACTACTATTGAAGTGTAATTACTTCTATGAATTTAGTGATCATCTTGTTGTGTTATAATGAATGAGGTCTAGCAACCTGAACCGATGCATATATGTGCCTGATCCTACGTTGTAGCTGGCTAACTGACTGACTGAAATGTAATATTGAATTCGTTTTTACAATATTTAGTTTATTTGTAACTTTTTAGGCAAAACTTTTTATCCTTTAAGATAAACCGTTCAATAAGCTAGATCTCCAGAACTCAATTGGCAGATATCTTATTTTAGATTTTTGAATTTCTCGTTCCAGTTTTTACCTTCAGATTGTATTTTCCACTTGGCAGGACCTTGAATGTCATTGGTTCGTTATCTCTTTTAAGATTCTATTTTGTAACATTTCTCAAGGATATCTTTATGCTGTATATATTTCCGCTTGAGTTGTATGCTTGTTGCTGTGTGTGTTTCTGGATGCTTGTGGAAGATACTTCCCCTCTTCTGTACCTGGACATCTCCGTCTAGATAACGGGGCTATGACACATCGTAATAGTTGACTTATCTTGTCATTGTATCGCTGAGTCTTCGTTCTGTTCGCCGATTTAAGTAATCTCATAATCTCTTCAAACATAACACAGATTATTCACTGAAACTTTTTACTTCAGTTAAAATTAACTGCATTTCATCCTTTGATGTTGTTGTTTTTGAACATTCTTAAAATTATTGATGTAGTCAGTTTAATGTTACTGTTAGAGGTGGGGCATAGATTGAATTAATGCACGTTCCGTGTACGACTGTGTTGGTGTACGTCGATTGGCTATTTCTTAACCAATTAGCGCTAGCGGATACTTGGAGAAGACTGTAGAATCTTCTCGTGTAAAAACCATAAATATACTTACGTTTTTAGTATTTTAATTCCTACTTCCATCTACTTTTGTTATTTAAAATATAATTTCCTTCTTGTTCAATCATGTTCTGATTAGGGGGACTTATCAAATGAATTAATGTCCAAGAATACTGAACAATGGGGATAGCTGGGTCGTAATAAGAGGGAATTATAACATTTACTTTGATGGTTGATCATAATAAAAACTTAGCCAAGTTGTCAGTAATCATTTTCATGATTTTATGTTACAAACATAAGCTAACTGTTCAGTTTTTGATTTTGATTATCAAATATTCAGTTATTAGGTCTGCAGTTTATACACCACTGACTGAGCTTTTTTTTCTGGTTAGCGTTTTTTTAGCGAGTTAATTTTCTACGGAATGGGGCAAATCAATTAATGAAGTAGTGAAACTTCATCAGTTGAGATGGCTGGGACACGTGTTACGTATGCCCAACGACCGACTGCCTCGACGTGCGATGTTCAATGGTATAGGAGTAGGTTGGAAGAAAGCTAGGGGCGGCCAGACCAAAACATGGCACAAATCCATGAAGTCACTGACAAGTGGACTGAGTCATGTTGGTAGGCGTAGACCACCTGGTTGGGGACCGCGAGATGATAGCAACCGATGGTTAGAGACCTCGAATGACATGGCTCAAAATCGTTTGCAATGGCCGCAGGTGCATCCACTCTAATCTTCTGAATTCTCCATGTCCCTTTTTTCCTCTTTCCAAATTTATTTCACTGGATTATACTCTTTAAATAACATCTCCAAACACTAATTTTCCCGATCACTGCTTATACTCTTGCTACCTCTACCACTACAGGATTTGAATCGACAACTGCATCTCTGTACTAATGTGGTGTGGCAACTCGAACTGATGTACGTACATACGAAGTTCTACGTTGTTACTGACTGACTGATGCCCAACCCTCCCGGTTTATTTGGGCTTGGGACTGGCAGTAGCCCCAGGGAGGCTCCAGGCGGAGCTATAGCTTGATATATATATATATATATATATATATATATATATTGATTAACAGAGAAGATTAATTTAAAGAAAACTTTTACTGACCATATTTTATTCAGAATGACATGGAGATCTTCAGTACTAGATCAATTAGATTAAGGAATTCAACGTCTCTTAATTATTATTATCATCATCATTATTCAATATTATACTTTGGCTATAATATAGAATTCTCGGCACAAAGTAATTCAACAAGTTTCCGTTTCTTATTTCTTGATCGATCCTGACGATAAGCAATTAGTGGTTGCCAGTTAGATGTAAGTAGTTCAGGAATCGACATCTGAATAATGTATATTCTTTTCAATGCATATCGCCAGCCATCACGATGTCTCTGGTTGTACATTTTTGTAAGTTGTACAATGAAAAGTTGTAAACTTTTCTCATAAACACTCTTGAGTAGGTTATGCCCTAGTACGACCGAGGGTGGGCAGAGTCAGCTCTCTATCTCCATCTCACATGCATACAACCACTGCCAGGAAAGTCCTACTCACTGTCTTCTTGTGTCATTATTGTTATTTACAAAATGGAGCGGACAAAAAGTGAATGTCCTACAGTTTAACCGGGTTAGTGGATATGGAGGATCCACCTAAGGGGATTGAAAAACCCTCATTCCAAACCAATAGTCTACATGGGCTTCAGAATCCTCAGGGAACAAAAGGCGTATGAATCAATCATTGGTCACCGGCTACCATAGGATTGCATCTCTTAACGTTGTTCCACTGTCTTGTGGATCAGACCTTTAGGTCGAAGGCTCCGAATGTGGCCCCCTAAGATAATCACCTTCGATCTAGGCACCCGGTCAGTATCACAGCTCTCACACAAATCGAATGATTTATATGGCGCATATGTATTCGGTGCCCTTTTGTATCAATGTTTATATATTCAAATATCTAGTTGGCAGGAACAAGTAGGTCAGATATTCAACCAAGTCGGTATCTTATATTCCTTTTGTTCTTATTACAAATTGAATATCTTTATTTACTCAATATCAATGATCTGTTTAAATGAATATACTAAAATGATGTTTTTTTTTATTATTCATCTATTTCTTAGTTATTATCGTGGTGCTGTTGGTGCTATTCTAGTTTATGACATATCAAAACCGCATACATTTTTAAATTTAGACAAATGGTTAGAAGAATTAAGAGAATATGCATCAGATGATGTTGTAATTATGTTAGTTGGAAATAAATGTGATCTAAAACATTTACGTTGTGTATTAACAGAAGATGCTACTCGATATGCTAAACAACAAGGTATATCATTTATGGAAACATCAGCATTAGATTCAATTAATGTTGAAGAAGCATTTAATCAAACAATAAAAAGTAAATGAAATTCAATTGAATTTTTTCACAGTAGTATAGTTTTTTTTTCTTCATAGAAATCATGAATTGATCTAAGTAAGATCATGCGGCGGAAGCACTGGATTGGCCACTTGTAGGATCATAGACGTGCACTGCTGAGGAGTCCTACGCTAGGACGAAACTTTTATTCAGTACATTCAGATTTTCAATAGTGGTCTAATTTAGATCGGTTTATGATTTTAGTGAAATTTAACAATGTTCACAACCTGTTATTGACAGTTTAATTTTTATCGGTTATTTATTTATGTAAGCACATAGATATTGGTACAAAGAGGGATCAAATACATGTGCGTCACACAAGTCACTCGATTTGTGTGAGAGCTGTGATACTGACCGGGTGCCCAAATCGAAGCAGGTGATTTTCTTAGGCGGTCACACACAGAGCCTTCGAACTAAAGGTCTGATCCACAAAGCAATGGGGCAACGTAAGGAGATGTAGTCCCATGGTAGCCGGTCACCAACGATTGATTCATACTCCATCTATTCCTTCAGGATACTGGAGCTCATGTGCACCATTGGTTTGGAATTAGGGTTTTCCATCTCCCCTAGATGGAACCCTTCATATCCACAAACCCGGTTAAAACGCCAGACATTCACTTTTTATGCTCTCAATTTCGTAAACAATACCGTGGTGTTAGAAGGCAGTGAGTAGGACTTTCCTGGCAGAGGCCTTTATTTATTTATTTATTTTAACACATAGACATTGGTACAAGGAGGCACCAAATACATATGCACCACACAAATCCCATTCGATATGTGTGAGGGTTGTGATACTGCCCGGGGCCACTCCCCGAGCCTTCGACCTGAAGGTCTGATCCACAAGGCAGTGGAGCATCGTAAGGAGATGCAGTCCCATGGAAGCCGTTGACCAATAATTAGTTCATACGCCATTTGTTCCCTCAGGATACTGGAGCCTATGTGCACCATTGGTTTGGAATCCGGTTAAAACGCCGGACATCCGCTTTTCGTCCTCTCATTTTCGTAAACAACACCCCCACCACGAGAAGGCAGTGAGTAGGCAGAGGCCTATATACGCATGGTCATGTGAGAGCATTTCGAGAAGGAGAGCGGACTCTCTCTCTCCCTCTCTCTATGCACTCTCAGCCGTACCAGGGCATTTAGGGGGGGTCAGATCCACTTATTAAGTTCACTTTTAATGTTTTTTTTTAAAAAAAATATTACAATTTCAATATTAATCGTTTTTATTTTTATTTCATTTTTTTTTCTAATAAAGATATATATCAACTTATTAGTAAACATCCATCATTCAATTCGAATGAAACTAATATTATACCAACAAATAATTTACCAGTTCCAGAACCACAATTAAAACAATCAACAAAAAGAAAATTTTGTTGTACATAGAATGCTTATGAATCATGTGAGTTTCCTTTTGTTGTTGTTGTTGTTGTCGTCGCTGTTTTTCTTTTCCTTTTTTTTATATTTTCAATGACCCCTTTTCTTTCTTTTGTTCTTCTCTTTTTTCTTTTCTTTTTGTTTTGTCTACTTGTTTCTTTATCATTAGAAATTGTTATTTAGTTGTCAATATCTATCAACAACAACAACAAAAAAAAAGAAAGAAAATCAATACAGATTTTTTTATTTTAATTATGAATCCATTGAATTGAGATCATTATGGAAAACCTTGAAAAAAAAGTATATTAGATAATTGTTTCGTCCCATCATGGGATTCTTCAACAATGTACATCTAATGTTTTCTTAGAATATCTACACATACACACACACACACACAACCCCCCCCCCTGTCCAGACTTTTATTTGTTTATATATTTTTTTCAAAGGATAATTTATTGTTTGTGATTTTGATATAACAGAAACTTTCAACAAAATAAAAACACAATGACTTGTTCATTTTATTATTTTACTGTATTAAATGAAACTCATTTTACGGAAAAGAAACTTTGTACTTAATTACGCCTATTAGTCTTCAGTAATAAGAATAGTAGGTTGGTGAACCTGTGTTAATCCTGACAGATTGCCTTCCGGTGAAGGTCCAGCTTCTCCTTGAAAAGTATTCACTGATGCGGCTGATAACCACTTGTTCGGGTAAGACGTTCCAATCATTGACTACTCAATGAGAAAAACGGGACAGTACTTTAAGTTCATTAGATTGTGGTTTATGAACCTTCTTGTTATGACCTTGGAGATTATCAGTGCTGGAGGGAGCAAAACAGATAAGACATATTAACACCCAAATCATAATTAAAGATACGAAATGCCAGTATAAGGTCACCTCGTGTTCTACGATATGACAAGGGGAAAAGGTTTAGGCGTTTTAAACGCTCATTGTAAGGGAGTCTAGAAAGACCTTTCACTAATTTCGTTCCCACACACTGGACACGCTCAAGGGAGTTAGTATCTTTTACCAGACACGGGCTAGCTAATTGGATACAGTACTCTAAATGTGGTCTTACATACATGGGATATAAAATTCGGAACGTTTCCTCGTCAAAAGATTTGAACGCTCGGCGAAATGACCATAACTCACGAAAACCTTTGACAGCGGCTGCTTTGCAATGCGTAGTTGTTTTTAAATCATGACTTATTACTACTCCTAAGTCTTTATGTTCTTGAGCACATAGAAGAGGTTTACCCTCAATAGTATAACGGTAACTATTATCATGACCGATGTGCATTAGCACACACTTCCTATAATTTATTTCTAAGCCCCACTCTCGAGCCCATCTAACTAAATCGTCTAAGTCAGCTTGAAGATCCAGATGATCAGCCTCACTTTTTATTGTTCTCCAGATTACTCCCAATGGAGCATAGGCCGCCGATCGTCATCCTTCAACCCACTCTTTTTTAGTTCTATCTCATTGTTGTTCATTCTCTTCATATCTGTCTATATTTCTTGTGTTCTTTGGTCTTCCTCTTCTCTTTTGACCTTGAGGATTTCAAGTGATGTAGGCTTGTCTTGTGATGTAATTGGGTGCTTTCCTCAATGCACTTCTTCCTGATTTCTTTCTCCGTTAGAATATGATTTGTTCTCTTCCATAGTAGATTGTTGTTGATAGTGTCTGGCCAATGGATCCGAAGTATTTTGCGTAGGCAACTGTTATTAAACACTTATATCTTCTGGATGATGACTTGCGTAGTTCCCTAAGTTTCCGCCCTATACACTGAAATTGTCTTGATATTTGTATTGAAAATTCTGACTTTGGTGTTGGTTGACAGACAGTTGTTTTCAGTTCCTCAATTGTAGATATGCTATTCTTGCTTTGCCGATCCGCGCCTTCACATCTGCATCAGATATGAAAACCTTGTAGTTTTCTTTAAATTAGCATTTATCATTGAGATTCTGTTCCTCAGATTAATTTTTAAGATGAAATCAATATACCATTGGTGTATATGTATATATGCAGATACATCCAACTGATGTGTCCTACATAGGACGAAACGCACATCCTTTATTCTACTGCTAGCCACTATTCATCTATGACTATAAAATGCTTGTAATTTGTTAGTAATATCGAGGTAATCCTTACAGGATGCACATATGCTAGTAAGAGATTGATCAATTACAGTCTTAAATATTAATGAGTAGATCCAAACAATCAATACAAAAATGAATCAAAACTTTACGGCATTGCACAAACTAGTAGCTATCTGAATTCCGTAGATAACGCAATAGCATTAGAAGTGAATGGTACTGGGTTCGAGTTCCGGGGTGCATATTGACTCCGGAATGCAGGTAAGTTCAGTTGACGAGTGTTAAATAGGACGTAACCCGTGTCCTAGATTTCATTGCTAGCCACTGTCCATCTCTGCTTATAATATTTGTGATTTAAGGCAATCCTCACAGGATGCACATATGCCAATTAGAGATTGATCAATTTCATTTTTAAACATGAATGGGAAGATTCGAACAACCAGTACACATGAGACGCACTAGATGTTATTTGTCTACAAAATGTTACCTTTCAAGGAATGATGATAGACAGTCTTGTTCTTTTTTATTTTATTATTCTCTTAATAATCAACATATGCTCGCTGGTGACTGGCTTCAATATGTATTTCCTGGAGTTCTAGTGAGGAGCACTGACCAATGGAGTTCAACAGGGTCTATTGTAAGATAGCAACTCACTGAAGATAATGGTGGTGGATGTGTTACTCAATTTCGTGGATTAGTTGAAGTTAGACACTAACGCTGTTGGGTGCCGGCTCAATGATCTAAAGTTTAAATGTTCGCGCACGAGACTGATAGGTCCATGATTTGAATCTCACGGGAGACGGGATCATGGATGAGCACTTTTGAGGAGTTCCACAACAGGACGAAACGACCGTCCAGTCCTTCCAGGTTTTCCATGATGGTCTACCTTCAAATGATTCATGATCTCAACCATTGGCATTACTATAATAGTGAAACGTGTAGTTAATGAATAATGCCCATAAAAGTGAAGTAAACCGTTGATATATATTATAACAAGAAAATAAACTGTACACACAGTGAACTAATGGAATAAAGTGTGTATGTATTTGTGTGTGCGTGGAGTATTCATGATTCACACAGTAATAATATGCGTTGGGCGGTCATAAAAGGACTAGTGCTATAAGTAATTTAACAGGTGACGAATTGAAGAATGAATTAAACTAAAGGCTTACTAAGTCGGATATTTCATATTGTTGAATCATCTATTATTTGGTATCCAAGTGCTTTAACATTGTTTAGTTGGTGGATCCAAACATAACTGTCGGTAAAAATGATATCACTTAGTTCAACAGTCGACATTAACAATAGCTAACTCAGAAGCATGATTGACTTCAGAATTATTTAGGCTGAAAATATCAACCGCTGCTTCAATAAAAACGACAGCATAAACCATCAAAAAGTTTATCTGGTTCTATTTTATTATGACTATAGTTGCTAAGACAAAATAAAAATTAACCAACTTACTGCTACGGTTAACTAAATTACAAAACAGTAAAATAATTCTTTTTCAGAAACCTTTTTCGAAATCGATCAGTCGAGGTCCTCAGAAAAACCATGAAACAAACAGATTGATCGCCCACTATTGTGTGAACAAATTACAATGATAAATTAGAAATTTAACGTCAATTTACACGAGCGATACAACAATCCGATTGAAATGGACCAAGAACATTACTGAAAAATTACTTCATATGTGAACAAAAATAATTCCCAGAAAATTAAACAAATTTGCACAAAAGCATATGGAGAGACAAAAAAACCGGAAAACCAAACACCAGACGAAAGAAAACATCCAAAATATAAAGCAGTAAACAATTCGTTAAGACACAGATAGAAATAGATTATGATTGTGTCATGTAAAAAAACTCAAGATTATTTTAAAATTAAAAATATGTCTAAAGAACAATGATAAGTAAACCAAGAACAACCACAGCGAAATGCCGAGAACCGGTGTTTTCAATGTGGTATGGTCGCCGCCAACTGCACCACCACTCAAACTACACATCAACACAACACACACTCACACATACTAATCAAATACTCACTACTACTCGTCGTCAACATCCCCAATCACTAGTCATTCACTCAATCACTCAAACTACACAAATTACCACAGTCAGTCACACTGACAATTGTCACAACAACTACCACTAACTGCTCCACATATCCATTCAATGCACCGACCACATACACTGATCAACTCCACTCCGGTCTGTATCACTCATTCATCAGTCACACAGCCAACAGATAGATATCAGGCAACATCAATCAACACATACAACTGAATACAATGTCTGTCTGATCACCAGATTGCTTGTTCACAACTGGAGTCCAATGGAAATCCGCATTGTCAGTCAATTAGTCATTGCACTTTTCCACTCACTAGTCATCATGAACAGTCATCATGAAGAGTCATCATGAACGTGGTGTACATGTCGTCTACTGGTGTATCTGGTTGTCGATGTGCACGTGATGATATTGTGACTGTGTGTGTTTGGTGTATGCTAATGTTTGACTGGCAATATGACTGGTTTGTTGTGTTGAGACAGTGTGTGGTTGGATGTGTTTCATGTGGACTGGTTGTATGGTGTAGAGGTGAGGTGAAATAGACTGACAGTGTGTTGGATAGTGGTGATGCGAGTTGATCAAGTGTGTGTGAGACAGTGTGGCCAGAATAGTAATGAAAATAATAATATTAATTAGATGTGAATGGGAACAATGTGTATAATTGTGGTGGCGGTAGTTTCGGTCATTGGGATTGATCGATGTAGTAGTTGTTGTTGACGATTGAGAAATAGATTGTGTGTGTGGGTTGTTAAAAGCCGGCGACACCCGGTATTCCCAGCCGGTCACCCATGCAAGTACTGACCGGGCCCAACGTTGCTTAACTGCGGTGATCGGACGAGAACCGGTGCTTTCAACGTGGTATGGTCGCCGCCAACTGCACCACCACTCAAACTACACATCAACACAACACACACTCACACATACTAATCAAATACTCACTACTACTCGTCGTCAACATCCCCAATCACTAGTCATTCACTCAATCACTCAAACTACACAAATTACCACAGTCAGTCACACTGACAATTGTCACAACAACTACCACTAACTGCTCCACATATCCATTCAATGCACCGACCACATACACTGATCAACTCCACTCCAGTCTGTATCACTCATTCATCAGTCACACAGCCAACAGATAGATATCAGGCAACATCAATCAACACATACAACTGAATACAATGTCTGTCTGATCACCAGATTGCTTGTTCACAACTGGAGTCCAATGGAAATCCGCATTGTCAGTCAATTAGTCATTGCACTTTTCCACTCACTAGTCATCATGAACAGTCATCATGAAGAGTCATCATGAACGTGGTGTACATGTCGTCTACTGGTGTATCTGGTTGTCGATGTGCACGTGATGATATTGTGACTGTGTGTGTTTGGTGTATGCTAATGTTTGACT